ACGTATCATAAGAATAAACAATATTGTGTATACTTAATAAACACATTAATTACATTTTTTTTCCTTATATAATCTTTATTGATTATATCAGTATGCAAAATTTATCAAAAAATTCTTATTTTTATATAGCTGAAACGAGTATTTTTAATATGTTTAGAAGTGACAGAGGTCTGATCACTTATATAGTGATTAATCTATGATAGACATATTACACACAGATGTGGCCGTATATCTCTTAACATCATTACTATTAACCTTAGTTTTTTTTTAATTTTATAATTCTACAATTGGAATTTTCTTTACAGTCTTTACAAAATCTAACAAATATCTACTAAGAAAACCCATTTTCTTAGTCACAGTTTAAAAAATTTACTTATTTTTTTAGCTGAGACAGTTGATGTTCTTACTAGAAAATGCTTGGATTTTAAGCTAATTTGAATGGATTATAGTTAAACGAATAAGAAATTCAAGACAAATAAAAGTAATTTAAATGCAAAATTGTTTTCTTTATCACTGACATTAACGTTAAAAAAAACGTCGTTTAAATCTGTAAATCTTTGAACTATAAAGACAAATTCGCTAAAATTTTAAAACAATGGCAGCATAATAAACAAGTTTTTGTCTATCTTGCATTTGTCACAAAGCCTATTAATGCTTGGAAACAGAAAAATTCTTGTATAAACTTTATGAGTTTTCATTTCTGTATGGATCATTTGTGATCCGTATAATTATTACTTTTAATATTAATACTTAACTTCATATTATTAATCGTATAATTTAGTAAATTAATAATTATAATATATTGCTTCGTTTTTACTATACGTTTTTTTTTTTTAAAACATCTTTTTATTTTCTTTTTTCTTCTTAAATTTAGGATCTTTGTCATTCTTGGAAAGTCAATAGTTAATAAAAATTTTATAATATCTCCTGTAAATTACAGTATACTTTGTTTTAAATACAATATTAACATGTTTTTACTCCTCGTTATATTCTTATTTGCTTTTAATTATCATACAACATCTCATGGAAATTCTTTTTTAAAGTAGGAGTATGTCTTAAAATTCGAAGAAATACGATAATATATTATAGATATATTACAGAAAAGTTGACAAAGTCAAACTTCAAAGAATTGTTCAATCATTTAATTAACATAAAAATAGTTTGTAGCTAGAATTATTAATGTTTTTATAGAATTCTTGTTTGCGTGCAATGAGCTTACATGTTTTTATCAACGAATAGCATGTTTTCATGCAAGTTTATTTTCATGCAAATAGGTATTTTGGCTATTTTAATAAATGTGATGCTAACTCGAATAACCTGTTTTGGATTCAACCTTTAAAAGAAATGACTTGATTATAATGCTAATTATTCTTTTTCCTTTAATTCTTTCTAAAATTCTTAAGACATTACACTTTTGAGAGACAATATTGAACAGTCGAGATATAAAAAGCGATCTTAAAAGTTAACATTATACATCCCACGTTCTCTAATATAATGTGGAAATACGGTATTTTTATCTCTGCAAATGTTAACAAATTTTAATTTTAGATTAATAAATTAAAAATAATTTTTAATTTTAGATTATTTTTTCAAAAACAAATCTTATATTTTGGTTAATTTGTTTCTAATTTTCGTCTTTGATTTTTCATTTGAAAGGAAATAATGTACAGGTACCAAGTGTCAACCTTCTCCAAGTTGTAGGAAGGTTGGTTTTTTGGTATTTTATCATTGACTTGGCAGTAATTCATTTGTTTAAAAATATCTTTCATATTACCTATAGCTAGACTGAAAAGAAATCTAGGCTAATTTACATGTGAAGATATTAGGAATTATTTTAACACACACACACACACACACACACACACACAGAGAGAAGAGAGAGAGAGGCAAAGGAGGAAGAGGAGGAGAAGAGGAGGAAGATGATTAAGAATAAACATGTGAGAAAATTAACAAAAAAAAGAAAAGAAAACAAATCCTATAGTAATGAAAAAAGATGCATTCTTCAGAAAAATATTGCACCATGCAACAGATTCCTCTTAATTAAAATGCTGCCAAAGTCCATCTTTTGTATTTATATTATTAAATCGAGTTTTAGTATTACTTTACGTCAGTTCAATAAATATTTTTTTTGTATTCATTACATATAATTTATATTTATACTGTAGCTATATATGAATATAACTTATAAATAAAAAGACTAAAATATATATTTTTTACAGTCTTTTCATGGTTTGTAAAGTGCATATCATTTTAATGATATATCATTATACACTTTACAAACCGAAAACGCTAATAAAAGCAAAATTTAAAAAATCATTTTATTTTCTTATTAGATAAGTTTACTCTAACATGAATGTAGACTACTGACACATATATTAACTGTAAACAGCTAATATGTGTGTCAGTAGTTCATGTAATAACTGATTACTTTTTATCTTATTTTTGCAAATATTTAAGCTATATCTCAAGGTAAATGTCTATCTCTATTTAAAAGACTCATAAGTACAAATATAAAACAAAATAATACCAACTTTAATATGATAAAGCTACTAAGAGGCTGTGGAATTAAGTATAAATCTAAGTCTTCATCTTATGAGATAAATTTCAAACCGTTTCTATCAAAATTCTTAACGAAAACCTCATCTTATTTAAGTATAAACTTTGAGATATTAATACTATTATTAACAATAAAATATCAAATATGTAAATTTGTATTATTTATTATTTCAAAGTGAATTCGTTTTAATATTTTAAAACCTACGAAAATGCCTTCGGGTATAAGAATTCTCTAGCAAAGTTTTGAAACTTTTAAATATTATCTACAATTCCTATTAATCAGTCAATTCAGATTATTAAAATGTAACAAAACTAATATTTGTAATGAGTAACAGTGAGTTAACATCTTAAGATCTTTCTACTAACTTTAATGCTAAACTTTATAACGATTAGCATGATAAGGATGCTAATAATTGAAAAGTTTAGTATTAAAGACTAAGTATGATACAGGAATCAAATGTTTTCCACTCTTTGTAACCTGAAGCATTATTCTTATTGAAATATATAAGAATTTCTATAAATCAATACATGCAAACAATATAAACGCTATGAATCAATTGCACAATTGGAGAATGTTCTCTCCATATACGTTTATGTGTCTGTACTATTATATTTCATCGTAAAAAAATTGTAGTAGAATATGTATTAATAAACGTCATTACTTTTATGTAATTATGCGCAGATTAATTATCAAATGATTGTTATTTTTTACAAAACTTCGATAATGAATAATGTAGAAAGACTTTTACAATGACGCTATTTAGTACACGTTCTGGGAGTGAAGAAGATAAAACCAGATCATATAATGTACAAAAATGCATCGTTGTAGAGTTGTGTAAAAATTTATTACATACAAAATGTATTAGAGAGTAAAAAATACTTTATAAACTATAATTATAATAGATCACAAACACATTTAAGAAAAAAGAGAAATTGTAATTACCATGGTTCGAGAACCAAGAACAAAAATTCGTTGATATATCTAGGAATATATTTCGGAGGAACGTTATTATATACTTTCAAGGATAATTAGGCTACTGTATTTGTTAGTGATTCTTTCAAACTGCACGAATGATTTACACATAATTTTTAAATGCTTTATGATCTATTAATGAGGTTGATTTTATCAGAAATGAGATTTTTCAAACTAACAAAATCCACTCTTATTACAAGCATCAACACCAATTAGATCTCATGTTTGTTCTTTGTAGTATGTCTTTTTAAATTTATAGGTAATAAATTAATGTCGCAAAGTTAAAGTTAGTGTTTTATAGAACGAGCTCTGGAAAATGTTCTCTAGTATACTATAAACAGATGACTTTTACTCGATGAACCTTTTTATGTTTTGTGGACATCGTTAAGATCTTTTTTAAAAGATAGCGCAATGTTTAATCGGATATTGTATATCTTTTCTATTGCTATGAAAATCCTCTGATCTAAATCTTTTGGTCCTTTATACGGTATGTGGGACCGTATAAAACGGTTGGTTTATCAGATAAAACATTAAATGAAAAACACTACGCAAAGGACAGGAACTAAGAAAACAATTCCAAATATTCTTGGAATTTGTAAACTCAACAATGAGACATTGTAAATAGGAGGAGATCGTTTTGAACATCGTTTGTAACGAAAAAACAAAGAAAGCATTTTTACAAAAATATAAAATTATGAATTTGCATAAGAAAGCAAATTTTTGCTAAATGCAAATACGTAATTTTATATTTTCATCTTTTTGTTTAAAATATTTCTCATGTAACAATTCAAAGATGATAGATTTTAAACATAAGTTTATAAGAATAGTTTTTATCTTGTCGATGTCTGAAAACATGGTAAAATTTTGTTCTAATCATTATTCTGTATCGTGATTAATAAATAAAATTTAACTTTTTCCAAAATTTTATACAGTTTTATCGAAAATTCAAGATTTATTTGTCCAAGTAAAGATATGAATACCGTTCCATTTTAAAGCAGAATTCTATAAAGTAATTAGAACGTTTTAATCAAAATAAATCGAAGACATCAATTTATCGATAATTGACATAAAAAAACAGAAAAAATACTTTTTTAAATGTTTTTTTAAATGTAATTTTAATTACACAAATGTATCTACGTAAGTAAAAAAGTAACTAATTTGTCAATTTTTTAAAACATGCATTTGGAATACCTTCTTTATTATATAAAGGACATTCCTCATCTGAATTAATCTATTAAATCGAGGTTTTACTGTATTATTTTTTAACAATAGAAAATAATTCTAAGAATACTTAAAAAACTTATTATTTTAATTAATTAAAGTATATATATATCTCGTGATTTGATAATTGTTTTATATTTACTAAGTTCATTTACTTAAAAATCATATTTTCTAGCATATATTTATTAATGTACTGTACGCCTATACATAAATATTTGAATAAAAAACAATAGTTATTTGTTTTCTATTCAAATATTTTTACAGTTTCATAATAAAAATACTCGTAAGCCATTTAATATTTAAATATATAACATTTTCTTGATAATTTAAAACGTTTCTTAGATAAATTAGCCATTAATTGGATTAACGTAGAGTTTTTAGAATAATGTCATAAATAAAAATGAATTAAAATCATTATCATCAAAGCATAATATAAATTTCTATTGTATAAGATAGTATAGATTACAAATATTAGTAAGTTATAGTATAAATAAATACACTAAATTTTGTAAAATAATAGAATTAAGTAAATAAAGGAGTCACAAAAGTCTTCAAGTTTTCGACCATAGGTCGAAAACTTGAAGACTTTTGTGGCTTTCTAGTCTGACTTGATAATATTAAATGTTATAAGTTTAATTTTTCTATTATGAATTTTGAGCTGTAAAAGTAAGTTTTCTGTTCGCTTATTAATAAAAGCATCTATATAGATACAATTTACGTATATTTTTTATGCATATATACTGCATAAAAATATGTATATAAGGCACATACACACACATTTATATATATACAGTATATATGTAGCAAATCGAATACGTATAAAAAATATAAACGCTTATGTGACTCGCTATACAACATGCGATCTTATTAGATCTCTCCTAAATCACATGCATCTTTTCATCTATTAAAGATTCTCTAGTTCCGGAGTAAAAATTTCTCTATGTTATATATAAGATATCAAGTAAAAACTGAAAATGATTTGCTAACATTAGAATTGTCTTAAGAATTATTGCTTTTAAACTAGAAATTTAATCGGCGATTTTCTTTTTTGTTAATTTTTATTTAAGATTTCAATTTATTCTCAAAAATCTTTAAGTAAAGTCACTTATTATTGATATCTTAATAATGTAGCTTAAAATTACCTAACAATCTTTTATAGAGAAGGTAAAATTTGTCTATAATGTCATGTTTTATCCAATTAAAAAATTAATCAAACGCGTTACAAAATTTTAATAAAAGAGAAAAATATATAATTTATTAAATTACTTATAACTTTTTAATTAATTTATAGTATTAAACCAGTAAGAAGCGAAAATGAAACGGTGGTTATGGATGATGAACTTAGAACTGCGATATTAAAAATAGGAAAAAATGTAGCAAAACTCACCAGAGGAAAAAAGAGTACAGATAGATTACCTATAGAAGAACCAGGTAAATAAATCAATTAATTAGATTTAAATATTTTTATATTTTAATTTTATGTATTTACAATAACAGAAATCATGACCATGGCCATGGAAGTTTACGTCGACGATATAAGTTCTTTTAATGCAAAGGATATGGTATGCCATAGAATTTAAATAATATTTTATTAATTAACATTCTGTAATAAAAGTTTATTTATTTAACAGTTGACGAATTTTAAAATCTAAATATAAATTTATATATTTTAGGAGTTTCGATTGGATATATATTTCAAACATTCATGGAAAGTGAATAAGGAAATTTGTAGTGAATATGTAAACTCTGTAAATTCCATAAATTTAAATATAACACTGGACGATCCTTTATATTTATCACCAGTTTATTTCTATTTATTTTGGTTACCGGATACCTTTCTGATTAACGCCAAAAAAATTGACACAATTACTAAAGAAAGCAGCACTAAAATATTGATTTTAAGTTTAGAGCCTGATGAATTGTGTAAATTAGAGCATGTAAGCAGGTGAGTTATTATTTTTTTTTATAATAAAATTGATTACATTGATATTAAGTTGTTACTAAATTCAATAATCTTGAATATAATAAAAAACAAACTATATAAAAAATCTGTATTAATATATAAGAAAGCTTCAAGTTTAAATATTATTTTAATATTTAATTGATGATATATTTCTAAATAATAATTAGTTGAGGAAGAAATATGCCAATTCATCTCTTTTGTATCAATTGTATGTATTCATCTCTGCCTAGACTTTCCAGCATTTGCCTAGACATTTTATTTAATTTATAATAAAAATATTTTATGTTTTTCACGTTCAACAANATTTCAAACATTCATGGAAAGTGAATAAGGAAATTTGTAGTGAATATGTAAACTCTGTAAATTCCATAAATTTAAATATAACACTGGACGATCCTTTATATTTATCACCAGTTTATTTCTATTTATTTTGGTTACCGGATACCTTTCTGATTAACGCCAAAAAAATTGACACAATTACTAAAGAAAGCAGCACTAAAATATTGATTTTAAGTTTAGAGCCTGATGAATTGTGTAAATTAGAGCATGTAAGCAGGTGAGTTATTATTTTTTTTTATAATAAAATTGATTACATTGATATTAAGTTGTTACTAAATTCAATAATCTTGAATATAATAAAAAACTATAAAAATAAATTGTATTAATATATAAGAAAGCTTCAAGTTTAAATATTATTTTAATATTTAATTGATGATATATTTCTAAATAATAATTAGTTGAGGAAGAAATATGCCAATTCATCTCTTTTGTATCAATTGTATGTATTCATCTCTGCCTAGACTTTCCAGCATTTGCCTAGACATTTTATTTAATTTATAATAAAAATATTTTATGTTTTTCACGTTCAACAATAAACTGTTTATGTTTATAGAAAGTTTAAATAGATCTATCAAAGTTATTGTTATATTTAACGATTCGTTTTCTATAATATAAACTTTAGTGTTTGTCACGCTCATCTCTCAAAAACTATTCATCACAGAAAATGTGTTTATTGTTAAGATTATATTTCTATACTTGAAAATAAACACGAAAAATGATTTTGTTAATGGTTTTCTGTATTTAATTCTGTATAAATGAGCAAATTTTTCATTCTGTTGTATTACTATATACGCATATATTTAGTATGTAAATATATTTTCACATTATAGTCAAACCTGTTAACAACGACTACTGATGTAAACAGAAACTGGTCGTTGTTAACATGTTATTTTATATGCAATTTTCGTTCAAAAACAAGTTCCTGAAAAGTAATGGCCGTTGTTGGGAGGTGACTGTATACAAATATATGAGTAATAAACCAAATCTAAGCGTAACATCCTCATAAAATTTCAAGAGACTTAATTAAATTATTTTAAAAAAATCTAATGAGCACAGGCAGTTCTCTGCATGATATATGAGATAAAGTATCTGAAATATTTTAACAGCTGATCAATGATTGGCAGATCCAGTAAAAGTAGGCGTATTTATAGATAATTCCGTTTATTTTCATATTGAAAAAATTTTCCATCATATTCTAATATTACTTAATTTTTTTATACTATTAATTAAAGAAAATTATGATTTTTTTTAAATTACAGCTTGACTTATTCAGGAGAACTTACTATAAAATTCATTATACTGAATTTAGAGTTGTAATAAAATTAAAATAAAAAAAACAAAAATAAATGATTAGCACATAATTGAAATTAATTAATAATAAATAAATAGAGTTAATTATCTATCCTTAAATATTATTTATTGGATTATCGAATTAATTAACTTTGCGTAAGAATTAAAAGCAAGAAAAAAAAACAAAATAAAATATTTTTATTTAATTAAATTAATATTTGAATAATTTTAAATTATTTTTCTTTTGCCGTCTTCGTATGGATTATTTAAATAAATTTCGAAAGCAGAACGGTCGCTGGATATAAATAATAAAGGAGATTTTCTTATCGTAAAAATATTCAAAATTTATTCGAGGGAGATAGCAAACGAATAAGAAAATTAGGAAAATTTCAAATCAAAAATAATATATGCAATAAATATTCGTGAATAATGGAACATTCGTTTGTATCGTTTACTAAATTAAATTTGAAAATAATAAAATATGATTTAAAATACAATTTTTAAAAATATTTAACTTAATAAAGTCATTTATTTTAAGTTAATAGTTAATTAAATTGTGTCATTTAATCGTGTAAAAATTTATTTATTTAATGTAAATATCCTTCATAATATTATATACTTATATAAATAAACATGATATGAATAATTTAACATACACAAGTTATTTTTTGTGTTAAAATATTTAAATAAACATTTACATAATTATATGTAACGTGTTAAATAAATAGATTATCTGGAAAATGTAACGTGCTACATTTCTTTTTTTTAACTCAGCTAAAATTTATTTAAAAAATTTTAAATTTCTATAGTGTAAATGTATAATTCTTTCTACATAAAGGATTTTTTATATAATCTTCTTCCACTTTTATCACATTTTATGCTAAAATAAAAGCATGTATATGCATACATGTCTTCTCGATTTTAATATTTTAAATGTGTTATTTCAATTACATCATTATCTTTATGATTATAAAGATTATATTGTTCATCACTTTCTTCTGCGCTCTAATTACGTAGAAATTATAATGGGAAAATATTTATAACTTCATGGAAATCTTTCAATTCGACATGGAAATGCTCATCATCTCACAAGTTTGAAGATACAGAGCAAATTTCGCTTTATTCTTTCTGATTTTTTTTTTATCTGTTACAACGATGAGGATATAAATCCTACACAAGAATGATGATGTATTGATTAAGATATGATTATTTTTGCATCTTAGATTATAGAGATGGACGGAAATTGCATAGAAAACAAACTGAGTATATCTTACGTAATGTAGATTAAATCGTTTCTTAAAGTTTAATTAAGCAAAAGCATCTTTCTAAATAATTCTTCTAGACATTACTAAATATTAAAGCCAAAATTCTGCAGGAAAATTCGTTTATAAATTATAACGATATTAAATATATCATTGCATTTCTTTTATATCCTATATAGGAAGAGAAATTAAAGCAATCTTTTTGCAAAAAAAATAAAATTAACATTATTTTCATTCAATATATTCGATAATAAATATAATTATTTATCTCTATATCTTTTGATGTATCATACAGTTAAACATTTAATGTCTTTCAGATTGGCGGTAGAAGTTGGATGTCAAATGGACTTTAAATTTTATCCTGTAGACATTCAAATATGCCCTTTAACAATGAGAAGTTGTAATTATTATTATTATTATTATCATTATAATAATATTTTTGAAATATTAAAATACATTAATATAATGTAATGTTTACTAAAGATGGATATCCTGAAACAATGTTGGTTTATAAATGGGAAAATGAATCTGGAGAAGTACCAATGAATCCAGATCTTAAACTATTACAACATTCTGTAAAATTAAGTAAAGGCAATGGATACAGAATTATGTTAGGCAGTAAGAATTATATTATTTATAAATTATATTATAATTCAATTCTAAATGTTTAATGACGCTATATTTACAGGAAGATATTCCATGTTATACATTAATTTTACCTTCGAAAGACATTTGAGCTACTTTGTAACGAATGTATACGCACCAAGTGGATTAGTTATAGTCATATCTTGGTTTTCGTTTTGGTTAGGAATTGATGTAGTTCCTGGAAGAATAAGTCTTTGCGTAACTTGTATCTTAGCTTTGATAACTCAGACATCTGGTTTAAGAAACACTCTACCTCAAGTCTCGTACATAAATGTAAGTAATTGAATTTCAATGTTTTATAAGGTACATGTACGAAATATATCGTAATTGTATACAATTTTGCTTCATGATAAAAGAAGAAGAAAGATGAATTGATTTTATCTAAACAAACATTTGTTTAATAATATTTAAAATTTAAATATCTATTTTAAATTTCTCATCCAATCAAATTTGATATCTTAAGAAATATCATCAGAATTCTTAATATATAAAAATTGAATTTAATATTCTTAGTTGAGAAAATTAATGAAAATGGAGGTGACTAATTTCTACAACTAATTTTTATTTATATAAAACACCGATTAATTAAAGAACTTTGAAACTTTAGATTAGTCATATCTGTTTTCAATTCTTAATTAATTGTTCTTAAATCTTAGTATCCAAATTTATATATATTAAAGTTTTCTGCAATGTTTCTAAAATATCAAATTAAATTAGTAAAGAAATTAAAATTGATGTGGGTATTTTTAAATTTTAAATTTCTTCAACCACTCATTGGTTATATAATCACATTTCAAACTAATCTTCATTAAAATTATTTCAACTTTTCACGCTTACTTATATCGCTGTGAACTATGAATATTCAAACAATTAATTTACTTAATTTAATAACCTCAAACTATTTATATTTAATTTCGTTTCTATCAAATTTCTAAGTAATTATAATTAATCACAGTTTACATATTATGGAATAAGTTCAAGAGAGATGCTCAATATATGAATTTTCAATAAAATATTTTAGGATTTTAATGTTTTCTTCTATCATATAATTAGAATTAAAGCAATATTTAAAAAAAAAGAAAACATTTTTAGCATTTCAAACAGTACAAAATACGTTTCTTTACAGGGTTTGGATATCTGGATGATTTCCTGTTTACTCTTTGTTTTCGCTAGCCTTTTAGAATTTACACTCATTTGGTTTATTGATAAACATCAAAAAGACAAAATGGCGAAGGAGGAAGAAAAACCGGAAGCTGAAATAAAGGTAAGACCGTAATTATTCATTAAGAGTGAAATATATTAAAAGGTATCCTTTGTGGTATCTTCCATTTAGAACGAACCACCTGCACCTTATTACATAGACATGGAAAAGGGTCAAGGGCGAGTTATTAAACCATATTGTACTTGTGAATCGCATAAAAGAAAACAGCACGAGAGATTAATGACACAACCCAATAAACCAAAATGGATCGAGGAAGAAATAGAAGAAGAAGAAGAAGAATGTAATATAATTTGTAATTGTTCTCTAAAAAATATTTTAATAATAGATAAAGCTTCGAGAGTTATATTTCCATTGTGTTTTATAATTTTCAATGTAATTTATTGGCCTCTGCTGTTGCAAAGAAAATATTAAGACAAAACTAATATTAAAAAGTCACTAGTTTTATTTTTTATATAAATATATTCATCCATGGATTATGTAAAAATGAAATTTTTACGAATCTCATAACATATATTTTATTTATAAAGTAATCTGTTTAATAAAATACCATCACACTATATATAAATATTTTACTGTGTCGTTTTTTTTAAAAGTACTAACGGTTAAAATTACAACTAGAAACATGATGATTGCGATTGCAATTTCGTGTAGAGGAATCATTCAAATAAACTGTAAATAAATGTAATAAAATTTAAAGGTGATAGAAAAGATAATAAAGGTTAAATTGAGACGTTTCTATATGTAATATGCCGTCTTCTGTGATATATGTAAGATGTTAAAGCTGAAAGACTTTACAAAGATTGAAGATATGCTTTTTCTTAATTATGAGTGATTTAAGAATTGTTTTGAATAATAAAATTTTCTTAATTGTGTTAAAATTGACTAATTGAATGACTAGTTTATTGGAATTATATGATTGGTTAGCGATATGATTGTCTTAATGACGATTGGTTAGCGATATGGTTGTCTTAATGACGATTGGTTAGCGATATGGTTGTCTTAATAACGATTGGTTAAACAAAGATAAATATAATTAGATACTTTCTACACAATTAAATACAAAGATAATTTCTATTCTTATTTATTTATTTTTATTATTTACAATATTGTCGTTAAGATATATTTCTAGACGAATTTTATTTTATAGATAAAATGAATCACAAATTTTTTTACATAATTTTATTCTTTTTGTCGTTAATTAGCGAAGTTTTTCAAAATTTATTTGTCGAAAAAATTATATAGTAACAATAAAAGATGATATATTTATATTTAACCTTATTTTCGGACTTAAGTATGTATTAATTATTGAAATGTATAGACTACATTTAAAATATATATATGTGTAAATTCTCAATCATTAAGAAATAATTACACTGTATATAACGAAGTTTCATTACAAAACTACTCAAATGAGTAGTTTCCAAACGAAAATTAATCAATCATTTAACATATTAATAAGCTTATAATGATTTAGATTAAAATATCCTAGTTGTTTATTATTAGTATATTTGTTAATTAACATATTTTGAACACAATACAGTTTTTACTTAACGTATATTGTGAAAATAGAACAAATTTTATTTAATACAACTCTTGAGTTATATATGAATTATACATAAACCATACAAAAATTAAATTAAAATGAAATGATTTAAAAACAAGTTTAACAGTAATTGTAAATGTCTTAATGTTAAGTAAATAATGAAAATGCCATTTAAATAACACTTTTTTTTCATATTCTTCATATTCTGTTGTATACAATACATATATTGTTTATCCATTACTTAATTGAACTTATAATTTGTGAAGAATATCTATTGTTGAGATGCTTAAAATTTTGAATAATTGAAAAAATAATTTATAAAATTTATATCATGATTATTCTTATTGCGTCTGTGAGTATGTCTTATATTTGTAGTATCATCTAAAATTATTATACCTAATTCGAGGCATCTTTTCCCATTGAGTCATCTTATCAAGATTTTTTTTTCTAAATACATTAAATACTACTGTATTTAGAAAATTCATTGATAATTTATTGATAACTAGAACATAGAATAGATGGAAATTTCATAATTAATTAATATTTATTATCGTTTGTTTAAATAATGTTGAATGTAAATGATATTATTTCCATTTAACAATGGCTAGATATTTTTGAGATTACCTAAACGAATTAAATTTACTGAGAAATTAACTTTGCAGCTATTTCATGTGGAAATATGTTACTAAAGTAGAGGAAACTCTAAACATATTTCTCAATAAAATCTAAATTAAATCTATTCATTAAATAATATAAATTAACGAATTTTTCCCTCAGGAAAACAACCAAAAATGATCACTTACACAAAAATTTAATTCCATTGTTTAAATGTAACCCTTTCATTATCATTGAATAATATTAATTATCGGAATTCTTTCTAAGAAACTACATTCTATACGATAATTAATTTCTTTGTAATTTAAAAAAAATAATATTAAAATTATAATATAATTATAAATTAAACGATTATATTTGCTACTTAGCTTCGGGATAGAAATTCAGGATATAAAAGTGAATAGGCAATAAAAAAAACTAAAAAACAAAATCTTTATATAAAAAAAAGTGTGAAATTGCCCGAGGTCTATAGTGTAGTTTAAGGACTCTCTATTTGAGAATACAACTTAATAGGTTTTTCTTGAACTGTGGGAAGGAAACGTCTACGTTAGTAGAGCAGAAAACATTTGTTCCTTAATCATTCTCTGTTTTTTTTCCCTCTTGTTTTTGTGTTTTTAGAATTAGAAAAAAAAGTAAAATTACTTTATATTTTAAAGACAACTTTGATTAAATACAATTTCTTAGATAAATAAAAAAATAGGCAGTAAGAATTATATTATTTATAAATTATATTATAATTCAATTCTGAATGTTTAATGACGCTATATTTACAGGAAGATATTCCATGTTATACATTAATTTTACCTTCGAAAGACATTTGAGCTACTTTGTAACGAATGTATACGCACCAAGTGGATTAGTTATAGTCATATCTTGGTTTTCGTTTTGGTTAGGAATTGATGTAGTTCCTGGAAGAATAAGTCTTTGCGTAACTTGTATCTTAGCTTTGATAACTCAGACATCTGGTTTAAGAAACACTCTACCTCAAGTCTCGTACATAAATGTAAGTAATTGAATTTCAATGTTTTATAAGGTACATGTACGAAATATATCGTAATTGTATACAATTTTGCTTCATGATAAAAGAAGAAGAAAGATGAATTGATTTTATCTAAACAAACATTTGTTTAATAATATTTAAAATTTAAATATCTATTTTAAATTTCTCATCCAATCAAATTTGATATCTTAAGAAATNTGTTTTTGTGTTTTTAGAATTAGAAAAAAAAGTAAAATTACTTTATATTTTAAAGACAACTTTGATTAAATACAATTTCTTAGATAAATAAAAAAATTTCCAGTTTTATGTACGTGTTCGAGGGTGGATGATTCGTTTATTGATTGATTTTATTCAAACAAATCGAGATTGTTTTTGAAGATATTTTTTGGTTTGTTGAATATTATTATATAGAAAACACGTTTAATAGACTTATTTTGTAGAAGAGATTATACTTTACAGAGAAACGAGAGAGAAAATTGATGATGATAATTAATATCGATCGAAAGGGAGAATGTTTTAAAATTGGTTTCACAATGTTTCAATTTTTAAAATTTGTTCTACATTTTAAGAATTATGTGATCACGTGGATTTTTTTAATGGTTAATTAGCGATGAAATCATATTTTATAATAGGGTGTAGCGAGAAAACGTTCGCAGAATTCATCTAGGTGTTCAAGATGGGGTCGAACGAAAATTTCAGTGCAAACGAATGGGTCAATACGTATGATCGATTGTTGGTGGAGGCAACAGTAGCTGCCTGTTGATGCAGTATTTAGTAGTTGTGCAAAAGAACCAAAAGCAGACATCTGCTGCTGTTGCTTCTGTGACAACAGATACTGATCCATGTTGTTTAATTTGGAATTTTTTGGAAAATCCCCCTTCTTCTCTTCTTCCAGCTCCTCTTTCACATCCCCATCTTTCTGCTTTGTGTGTAATTTGTTAAATCCTACAAGTACTAAACTAAGGATTAGTCCAGTTAATGAAATATTTACTTCGTTATTAATTACGAATCGATTCTTTTCTTAAAAATTACAACTAAAATTAAGTTTTAAAAGATTAATAACTTTTTAAGAATTTTACAAATCTTTTTTTATGGGATGTTATTGTATAAAATTGGATTATTTCTATATATAAAAGTTTTTAATAAGATGATATATTTATATTTAACCTTATTTTCGGACTTAAGTATGTATTAATTATTGAAATGTATAGACTACATTTAAAATATATATATGTGTAAATTCTCAATCATTAAGAAATAATTACACTGTATATAACGAAGTTTCATTACAAAACTACTCAAATGAGTAGTTTCCAAACGAAAATTAATCAATCATTTAACATATTAATAAGCTTATAATGATTTAGATTAAAATATCCTAGTTGTTTATTATTAGTATATTTGTTAATTAACATATTTTGAACACAATACAGTTTTTACTTAACGTATATTGTGAAAATAGAACAAATTTTATTTAATACAACTCTTGAGTTATATATGAATTATACATAAACCATACAAAAATTAAATTAAAATGAAATGATTTAAAAACAAGTTTAACAGTAATTGTAAATGTCTTAATGTTAAGTAAATAATGAAAATGCCATTTAAATAACACTTTTTTTTCATATTCTTCATATTCTGTTGTATACAATACATATATTGTTTATCCATTACTTCATTGAACTTATAATTTGTGAAGAATATCTATTGTTGAGATGCTTAAAATTTTGAATAATTGAAAAAATAATTTATAAAATTTATATCATGATTATTCTTATTGCGTCTGTGAGTATGTCTTATATTTGTAGTATCATCTAAAATTATTATACCTAATTCGAGGCATCTTTTCCCATTGAGTCATCTTATCAAGATTTTTTTTTCTAAATACATTAAATACTACTGTATTTAGAAAATTCATTGATAATTTATTGATAACTAGAACATAGAATAGATGGAAATTTCATAATTAATTAATATTTATTATCGTTTGTTTAAATAATGTTGAATGTAAATGATATTATTTCCATTTAACAATGGCTAGATATTTTTGAGATTACCTAAACGAATTAAATTTACTGAGAAACCAACTTTGCAGCTATTTCATGTGGAAATATGTTACTAAAGTAGAGGAAACTCTAAACATATTTCTCAATAAAATCTAAATTAAATCTATTCATTAAATAATATAAATTAACGAATTTTTCCCTCAGGAAAACAACCAAAAATGATCACTTACACAAAAATTTAATT